ATCCAAAATATGACAAATGAAATGTTCCCACAACATCCATCTTTTGCGTGGGGATGCTCGTTGCTGTTAGAATCTGCCTCCCCGGATCCCAGGTCTCAAAGCAATTTATTAAGCATGCTATTAACTCCACTTTACAGAATTTGAAGAAAACATTCTCCAAAAGAAAACGAGTTAAAGCCAAGACCCATGGTCTCTGTATTCTGATGCTCTCACACACAGGAGCTCTGCATCCCCAGGGGACTGCCCTCCAGCACCTTTCCAAATGACAAGGCTACAGAATGCTGCTCTCCTGGCCTCGGCCCACAGGAACCCTCCAAGTGGAATGGTATTTTCTACCCTGGCCTGGAGTAAAAGTACAATCCATTTTATACTAGGATACTTCAGGTAACTCCCCTCCTATTACCATAAATATACTTTGGAACTAATGTCATTACTGATGATATTAGGGGCTACGGATGAGAGAAAGCCTTTCAAGTTTCACGTCCATATGTCATATACACATAGGATGTTTTTGGAAGGACACACAAAAAGCTGATGACCATGGGTGGGTGAATGGGGACACAGGAGGGAAGCAGCTCTACTTCTCACTATATACCCTTCTGAACAAATGCTGTTTTACAAACACGCGTTTCCTACTGAAGGCTAAATAAACAGACTGGATGCCTTGTCATTTCACCCCTTTCATTCTCCATCTCCTCGCTCCTCTTCCCTGTCCCTTTTCCTCCCATTCATTCCACCTCTCCAAGCCTCCATCGAGGCTTGCCCTAAGAGCCGCAAACTGTTAAAACAGTGGCCAGAGACCGAGCCAAGAGCTGTGCCCAAGACAAGATGCCAAGCAAGACCAGGAAGTCTTTCAAGGTCACACCCTTTATCAAGCCAACCCAACACGCTAAGGAACTCTTCAGTTATGTAGAAAAGGCCAATCTGACACCACAAAGGCTTTGCCTTCTCATCTTTTGGAATCATACAGGTCAAATGTCCTAACTTCAGAATCAACCAGCCAATTCTTTCCCAAGCAAGTGTATCATACAAGAATCTACCCCCAAAGAGATCCAAAGCTACATAGTCTTCCATCCCCCAAAGGAGGCTCTTTGTCTCAGGTCCTTGTACTGTAACAGACACTTTATTTTCAGTCTCAAATCAGGACACTGAATACTCCCTGGCCTCTAAAAAGCAGGAATTATGAAGAGAGAGCTCATTGGGAGGAAAATAAACCTGTAAATCCTGTTAGGCTTTGCGCTTCATTCCAAAGGCTTTTTCCCCAAAACAATACCATTAGCATTACCATGACAGCCCTAAAAGGGAGCATTCTGCACAACAGAATTGCAGCTCATCGTTCAAAATAAACCCCCAGAAAAGCACAGGAAAATCAGGGCTCCCTAACCTACATTCTGAGCCAACTCATTTCCACTCTCCATTTGTGGGCTCACCACAGTCCTCCTTATAAATACCTTTTCTGTAACTTGGATGTGCTTCCCACCCTCCAGGCCTTTCACCTTCCAGGTGGGCAGCTGGTCCACAAGTATTCATTACAGGCCTCCCAAGTGCCAGGGACACAAAGCAGAGGCTTGATCCACACCCTCAAGGAGCAAACTGGGAGATGAAACAGTCACACAAGCAATGAGAACACAAGACAGTCAGTGCTGTAACCAAGCTCCAAAGAACTCTTCCCACCAGAGCCTGGGAAAACTAAGAGACATTCCTTGGATGATGAAAAATGGAATAGGGCTTTTGCAGGCAAACAGAGAAACGGGAAGAATATTGGAGGCAGAGGAAAAAGCAGGTGGCATGCTGACATGCAGCTGACATGAAATCAGGAGGAAATCCAGTGTGGCAAGAATGCTGGAATCCCCCTTCTTCGATCTGGCCTGTTTTAGAAGAGGGACAACAACTAAATCTAGTTTACTCCGAAGGTTAGCAGCGCCAAAGGAAAAGAACGACAGGGACTCCAACACAGGGCTCTTTCTCAGATGCAAAAGCCCTCTGGCTCCCCTCCCTGAAGCTGGCAGCCTGAACATCACCCCGGGGGTCTTTTTCCATCAGGCAGCTTCTGCTTCCAGCGCTGATCTGTGGTGCCCAGCATCCCCTCAAACACACTCAAAGGTCAGAGGGTGAGAAGCTGCAGGGTGTCTGAGCCCACTGACCCTTTATCACTTTATCTCCCACGCCTTCCATGTCGAACAACCCACTCACACCCCACTGGAGAGTTGCGGCCCGGTTTATCATGTCCCTGTTTCCTTGTCCCTGTCTGGTACATTTCCATGCCTGTACATTTATTTACAACTTCTTTATCTGCTCCTTAGACTCTAAATTTTCTGAAAGCAGTGATGAAAACTTCCCCTGCCCCTTCATTTGCACTCCATCCCTACATAGAATAATACTGAATTCAACTGACACTACAGGAAAACTTAAAGTGTGGGGGTTGGGGGGAGTATTTATACTCTCATTTTAGTGAGAACTGGCTTAAGGCTAGAAGCAGAATGTGTCAGTTGCTCAGTCGTGTCCGACCCTTTGTGACCCCATGGACTGTAGCCGGCCAGGCTCCTCTGTCCATGGAATTCTCTGGGCACTACTACTGGAGTGGTAGGTAGCCATTTCCCTCTCCAGGGGATCTTTCCAACCCAGGGATCGAACCCATGTCTCCCGCATTGCAGGCAGATTCTTTACCATCTGAGCCATGGGAGATCTAATTTACAGTCTGCATCCTGACCCTTTAGAGAGTGAACACAGCACTTTTCATATCCAGCAGGGACAACGTCTAAACCAGGTATGCCCCAGGGGACAAAAAGAGGCACGTGGTCATCTTTACTAGAAAGATGGAAAAAAAGAGGCAAATAGTCATCTTTACTAGAAAGATCCTTCCAAAGAGGCCCGAGGCCCTTCAGAGCTCCAAGACGGACAGGCAAAACCCCTTCAGCCCGATTCCTATGCATGGGGTCTGAAGGGTCTGCACTAGACAGTGCTTGTAGCAGAAAGCCCAGGAAGTCCTTCCTTCACTCTAACTCAGAGCCTTACAGATTCAAGTTAATCCCACTTTTATTAACCTCAGGGCAACCAAGAACAAATGCACAAAGGAGGCAGCCTCGGAGAAGACGAAACACTGCTCTGGGTCCTCACCCTTGATAGGAATTCCTCATTAAGAGTTCCACAGCTAGTTCTCCATCCTTCCACGGAAACAAATTCAATCTGGCTGACTCAGAAATATGAAAGCCAAAGGTTTTTTAGTCACTCCTAAAGAGAACACAGTTTAACTTGTCCCAAATCCCCAGGAGCTTTTACAAACAGCACCTGCGCACATATTTTTGCGACCACAAAGTTCTTCCAGCAGCCCAATCTATAGTTGTAGGGGACCTGAGATCCAGAAGGGATCGTCTTCCGTTGCTCCCCGTTCCCAGCCCCCAGAAAGCTGACTGAAGTCCACAGGACAGCTGAGCTGATGGGAAGCCTCAGTGAACAAGGGAGCCTCTCTCGCCCTCCCACATCGTTCATCAGGATGCTGGTGTCCCTGTGGAGAGCAAGGACCCTGCTGACTTCTTTCAGTAATACAAAAAAGAAGTTTCAGGAGAGAGTGGAGAGGGCAACAAGGATCTGGACCCTCGGGGGAGCCACACAGGCAAGTTCCAGCAGCCCATGCCAACCAGCCATTCTATGCCCACTGGCACATGCTCTTGCCTTGGGGCTGGTGGGGCATGGAAGTCAAACGCTCCCATCCTCGAAACTCCATCCCAAGCCCCTTTCTTACCAATACATTTTTCTTTAGAAAGAAGTTATTTAAGAAGCACTCTATAAAGAGTGGGCGACTATTTGATCTCTCAAAGATCACTGGACAATGCAGACAAAAACTAAAGAGCCAGCAACCCTATCCCACATGACCTTGGGCTAGTCACTTCACCTTTCCCGGCTCTGGTGGCTTCATCATCAAAACGACACACAGGGAGAGATGGTTTATAATGTTCTTCCGGCTCCAAAGGTTGAACATTAAGCTCTGTATATTTCCTGAAGAAATGGCTAAAGGAAAATCAGCAAAGAGATACAGAATTCAGACCAATCTTTTAATTTCCACTTTGAAGGGAACATTTTGACTCTAGAAATCACGTAATTGACCACCTCCACCATTTCCACTTCTTTTCCCCCACCGACCTGCCAGCTTTGTTAATGTCAATCTCAACCACAGGACTGTGAGTCTCATGAGGCAATAACACGGACAAATTAATTTTGCCAACGCTGATTCTAGCCCACAAACTCGGTTTGCAATTGCCAGCAGTAAGTCCGGCCATAAAAGTGAAATTCATGTTCCTCGTGATCTAATAAGCCCATTGCCTGGATAGAAATAAATCATCTGCTGAATAATAATACCCACCAAACTCCTGCAGGTTTTCAAATCCCCAAGTGTCATGAGAGATATTCCTGTCCAACATAAAATCAGTATTTTGAAAAGTGGAGGATGGATAGAACCTCACCCACCCCCCATCACCACCAAAAAAAGAATTCAGCCCTTACACACACACACCTCTTGTTTGACTATATGCCCAGAGTCAGGATTTCAGGTTTGCCCACCTTGATTGTGGTTTAAAACGGTAAGTGCGGAAACCCCCTCCTCTGACTGTTCTGGGTAAACGTTCAGCAACTGCAGGGCGCTCGCCTCCGCTGCTAACTGATGATACAAGAAAGCAAGCCCGTTTTCTATCTACACGTAAAATGAAGCTGCACCCCTCCGATACCTGCCAGAAACTCCACCGGAGAGCACACAGCCTGGGGAAACAGTGCACCCCGCGACTGCCCTGGAATCCGTTTACTAAAATAGGCAGGAAGAAGGAAAGATCAAGGCGATTCAAGTGCTGACGGTTGTACTCCTGTGCGCGGAGGGGAGAAAACAAACGCCAGCCGGGAAGTCCCCAGCGGTGCCTGCACCTGGGAGGCGACAGCTAAGGATGCATGCGGGGGTGCGGCGGCGCAGGGAGAAGAGAGAGCCGGAGGGAAGGCGGGGGCCGACCGCTCACCTGTCCGTACACCTGGATGGGCTCCTGCTGCAGAGCAGCACTCCGTCTCCTCCGGAGCGGCTTCTCGTCCGCCCCCCGGGGCGCCCCGCGCGCCCCCAGCCGCAGCTCGAGCGGGTCGCCCCGCACCACGAGGAAGCCCCGGTCCTGGGGCCCAGGCGCGCGGCCGCCGGTCAGCGTCTGCGGCCAGATCTGGCCGACAGCCCCGGGGGGCAGCAGCGCGATCAGGACGAAGAGGAAGGGGAGTCGCGACTCCCTCCTGCTGCTCCGTGTCGCCATGTTCGGGCGAACGCGACCGCAGGTGGCGCCGCCGCCAGGAGAGAATGTGCAGCGCGAGGCCGGGACGCCGGCCGGGCCGGGGCCGCGCGCGCCGCTCCCGGGGCTCCAGGCCGCCCCGCTGCGCCCGCCGCCGCCGCCGGGTCCCGCTCGGCTCGGCGCGGCGCCGTCACGTGGGACGCTCGCCGCCTCGGCCCCTTCGCGCACTTTCTCCGCCGCGGCCCCTCCCCCGCGCGGCGATGGGGAAGTCAAGGCAGCGGGCGCGCGGCCCGGGCCCCGGGCGGGCGCTCCTTGTCGACCGTGCGCCCTGCGGCAACTAGGAGTCGCGTGGGGCTCTCCGGTCCTCCCTGGAGTTCTCGCCTGCTCTGCCGGGTCGTGTCGAGGTCGCCCTCAACCTCGGCCAGTCTCCTTTCCCGACTGCACAGCCCCGGGTCCCGCCACACGACCACCTCGTCCGCCCCCTGTCGCGTCCCCACCTCCGAGGGAGCGTGGGGAGTCCGAGGAAATTAGCGCGGAGAACGCGGCGGGCACGTTCGAGTCCAGATGAGCCCGCCCCCATGGTGCAACTCACACAGTTTCAATTTCTGGGCACCAAACTGCCGTTGCTCGAACTAAACTGCCCCTGCCCTGAACACGGTAAATATACTCCTGGCACAGAGGCCTTAAAAACAAGGAGAGTCAGACAAGAGACTCGCCACACCTGAACCCGGTTAGTTACACAGTGTTCCTTGCACCCAGAGGACCTGCGCGGGACACGCGGCCCCAGCACAGTGGCTTCCTTGTGACCCCCGCCTGTGTGACCGAGCACCGATCCATCCTACCTAAGCCCCCAAACCTGTGCACACACCCCAGCCCCTTCAGCCCACAGCCAACGCTGTTCCAAGTCCTCTTCCCAGGGTGGGTAAAGCCTTGCCACTGGGGGCAGAAGGGGCAGACACCGGAGAGTGGGGAGGACACGTTTTAAATTAACCCTACATGCAGCTGGAGGATCCAAGACCTTGTTCAAAGCACAGGGAGATAAAGGGTACTGCGGAGACAAACCCAAGGTCAATATTTGTCTGCAGGTTTGTGGGAGCCGCCAAGGCCTATCATCTGTTTCATTTTCTGTTTCGCTGTGCTCTGGACTCAAGACCCTGGTTCTTGATAAGACAGAGGAAGCAAGGCTGAAGGAGAGACTTACAGAGTTTCATGCAAGCCCTTGAGAGGCTGAGAGGGAGGAGGGATGGTCATTTCAGGGCCTGCAAAATGCTCCTCCTGGTCCTACCCCTGCCCTCTGGGACTCTCCAGTTAGCTTAGCTCACCCTCTTCCCCTACCTAGCGTCATTCCTGGAGACAACCCACCCAAAGAGGGACAAACTTTCCTTGCCTCCCTAAATCCAGCCTTGTACCCGCCTCTCATACCCTATGCCAGACTCTCTGGGGACCTGGGTCCGATTCTTTAGTCCCCAGCTTCCTCTCACCCCTTCCTTTCTCCCCCAGTCTTTCTATCCATCTCACCATAATCATAGAACCACCTAGTTCTCCCCCATCCTCTGGCAAAGCCACGGATCCACTGCCAGCTCCAACTCCCCATCTGGACCAGCGCTGTCTGGTCAGTATGACCTGACCAGGCATGGACCACCCTGTGGCCTCCCCAGGCCAGAAGCAAAGACACATCAACACCTATTTAACCCCCAAGCGAAAATGAGAGGAACAGGGCTAGAGTCGGACTGCTCTGCAGGAGTTTCAATTGTTTATTTCAACATATATTTCATGAGAACCCCTATAAGAGCAAGTGTCACAGTCCCCGCAGGAAACACATGTCCCTTAAGTGTGGACTTGAAGATGGAAAGTTGCTTTTCCCACGAAAAGCAAATGGTGCAAATGGCAATTTGCAGGGAAGGGTTGGTAGGACAGGTCCAGCTGCTTGCTGATTTTGATTTTGATTTGCAGCGTGGATGCTGAAGAACTGGCAGGAATGATCAAACATGGGTAATTTGCTCCTTGAAAGCCCTCCTCTGTAATCATTATGTATCTTCCACACTGTTCTAAGGTGGATAATCAGCAAACCCTGAGACTGTATGAGCCTTATAACCACACTACCTCTCCAACCGAATGTCAGTTTCCTCATCTGCAAAATAAGGATCTTAATTCCTGCCTATCCACACAGATATGCTGATAGCATCAGAGGAGATAATGTAAGTGAAATAACATTGCCATGCAAATTGTGAAGACCCCAGATAGAAGTACTGTACACAGATGACATTAGAGACATGCATTCTAGTCCTGCTTTGCAAGGAAGTTACTGTGTGATTTTTGTTGTTGATCATCTGGTCTCTCTGGGCATTGGTGTCTTCGTATGTGAAATGTAAAGAGACCTTGCAGCCCTGACCATTCCCCACCCCTTCAGGACCTCCACCTGGGCACAAGATGTGTGCAGCCACAGGCCATGGCTGACTTTTGCAATTGAGCAGGATGTTCCTCCTAGCTTTAAAACCGGATCTCAGTTGTAAACAAGCCTCCACTTCCTCCATGCCTCCAAAACAATATCAGCATTGGGGTGGGAAGATAGGTGGTGAGAAGGGAGGATCCTCATCCCCCTCCACCCCAACTTGCATGACCTTTGTTTTGATGCTGCCCCACATCAGGAGGAAAACCAAGATGCGTGGGAATTTTATACTAGACTGGGGTCAGACTTTATTTTTTATTATTTATTTACTTTGGGCTGGGCTTCCCTGATAGCTCAATTGGTAAAGAATCTGTCTGCAATGAGGGAGACCTGGGTTTGATCCCTGAGCTGGGAAGATCCCCTGGAGGAGGGAAAGGCTACCGAGAAATCTTCTGGCTTGGAGAATTCCATGGACTATATTCCATGGGTCTTTGTTGCTACTCATGGTCTTTCTCTATTTGTGGCAAATGGAGGCCACTCTTTATTTGCAGTGCACGGGCTTCTCGTTGCAGTGGCTTCTCTTGTTGCAGATCATCAGTGCTAGACACTCAGGCTTAATTGTTGTAGTGCTCAGGCTTAGTTGCCCCACAGCATGTGGGATCGTCCCCTTCCCAGATCAGGGATCGAACCTGTGTCCCTGTATTGGCAGGTGGATTCTTTAACCACTGGATCACCAGGGAAGCTCCAGGGTCTGCCTTTAAACTGCACTCCTCTGTCCTTCTGCCCCACCCAGGCCATCCTAAAATAGAGCTGAAGATGGGGCTAAGGAAAGATCACCCAGCGGTCACCAGAGTCCCACATCTTTACCCAGATGGAGTCTCTGTTAATATAGCAACAAGGACAGCCACAAAGAAGGAAGAAAAACTCCCAAAGCCTAACTGGACTTTTGTCTGTTCTCTCTCCCCTCCTGGCCTTCCCTAATCCTGGCATCTGGCATCTCACCCTCCCTCCCTGCCCAGCCCCTGGCCTAGCCAACTTCTGTGCATCCTTCAGTTTCCAAGAGGCCTCTGGACTAGCCTAGTTTATGCCACATTGCTTAGATAGAGGCCCTAAGTCTCTTGCAATCTTTGGTACTTTCTCTCTGGTCACATTACTTATTTAACCTCATTTTCCTCTCAAACTGTTACTAAGTCCACTGAAAAGATGGCAGACTAGTGTCTCAAAATAACTATCTTAGCTATTAGGGTCTGGATACCAGTTATCTTTTACAGAACACAGAGATGGGAGAGGTGAGGATGTATAAAAAAGCCATTAATCTTACAAACATCTCCTGAAATGACCAGCCTCAAGGCGAAGATATGTACATTTCTTTTTTCTTGTAGCCATTCACAGGTGGACAGGATCAGGATGACTCCCTGAACAAAGGCACTTTGGTTTAACCTTCAAGAAGAGGGGCTGGGTTCCCTATAGCAGGCCGTTATATACAGACAGTATCGTTTCAGTGAACAAAAGCAACAGGGAGCAAAGTTTAAAGTAAAAGGAACAGATCCAACTTGTAGTCACATTTTCCTCTAGGTGGCTAGGTGGTAAAGAATCTGCCTGCCCACTGTTTATAATAGCTAGAAAACGGAAGCATCCTAGATGTCCATCAACAGACAACTGGATAAGGAAGTTATGGTACATATACACAATGGAATATTAGTTAGCTATAAAAAAGGACACATTTGAGTCAGTTCTAATGAGGTGGATGAAACTGGAGCCTATTATGCAGAGTGAAGTAAGTCAGAAAGAGAAACACCAATACAATATATTCACGCATATATATGGAATTTAGGAAGACGGTAACAATGATCGTATACGCAAGGCAGCAAAAGAGACACAGATGTAAAGAACAGACTTTTAGACTCTGTGAGAGATGGTGAGGGTGGGATGATTTGAGAGAATAGCATTGAAACATGTATATTACCATATGTAAAATAGAGGACCAGTGCAAGTTGGATGCATTAAGCCAGTGCCCTGGAACAACCCAGAAGGATGGGGTGAGGAAGGAGGTGGAAAGGGGTTCAGGATGGGGGGCCACATATACACCCATGGCTGATTCATGTTGATGTATGGCAAAAGCCATCACAGTATTGTAAAGTAACTATCCTCAAATTAAAATAACTAAATAAATTAAAAAAAAAAAAAAAGAATCTGTCTGCCAATGTAGGGGACACAGGAGATGTGAGTTTGATCCCTGGGTCGAGAAGATCCCCTGCAGTAGGAAATGACAACCCACTCCAGTATTCTTGCCTGGGAAATCCCATGAACACACGGACAAAGGAGCCTGGCAGGCTACAGTCTGTGGGGGTTACATGACCTAGCAACTAAACAACAATATAACATAGCAAAACTATAAGCAGTAAGAAGGCAAAACCAGGTTCATCTTACCCTATGTCTATGCTTCCAGTGCTTGTATGATTCTTGCATATAGTGGGTACCGGTGACATTTATAGAATGTCTGTATGAATGAAAAGAGTTTGAGAAGACACCCTATGCATTGTGGTGAGAGTTAGGGTGTGGTAAGGACCAGATGTGATTGTGAAGGAGGAAACAGACAGAACAGGCTCCATCTTGACAGCAGGACTCTATCTTG